CACCAATTCAGGCAGATGTCACATAGGATAGAATTCTGGTTAGATTTACATGCCTTACAGCAAACAACACATGGAAAGCATGTCATTGAGTAGGTCTGAGACAACACTTGGGCTGTGGTAATATTTTAATTGCGGATTTGGGCGTGCGTGTAGCCTATTTTGGTCAGGTCACTGATAGACTTTATGTTTATTGCCTCAGAGGTGTCATTTTTTTCATGAAGATTTGGCCATGCCGTGTCCATGCATATTTGTATTTTATAGCGAGCTTGCATTGTCTTGTGTGGTAATATAATGACCTGTTGGCTTGGGTCAAGCTTTCGTTGATATAGATTGGGCTTGGTGTTGTAACAAGGCCTAGTGTCTCTAGCTGTGCCAACATTTCTCCTAGCTGCATAGAACATATCCCTCGCATCTCGCCTCACGAATTTAACAATGATGGCAGGATTGGCCCCAGATCTTGGCTTGGGCAGGCGGTGCGAGATGCTAATGTCCTCATGTGAGAGGGGTACCTGCATCTGTGTGCCAATTTTTTGTATAATATCGTTAGTCGATTCATTAGTAGTTTGTGGTATCCCAGAGATTTCAAGGGTATCCCGACGACCATATTGTTCCAGGTTGTTAATAGTAGAGTTAGTGCCATTAAGTTGCTGTTCAAGCGAGTTAACTGTGGATTTCAATATGCAGTTTTCTTCTTCTACTATTTTCACCCTGCTAAGGGCTTTATCTAGGTTAGTTTTTATTACTTCATACTGGGCCGACATGTATTCCTGGCTGATCTTAATGTCGCCAATATCCGTGGTCATTAGGGAGAGTTTTCTATCGATCATCTCTCTCACCTCTGATTCCATGGTCTTGATGTTCCCAGCCAGTTGTTTTTCCATCCCGGCAAGCAGAGATGGGACGTCCTCATCGTTCCCTGTCGTAATTGGTGGAGCATCTTCAGACTCAAGACGCATGGCGGCTGAGTCCTTAGTTCTCTTGCTTCGTGACATATTGCTAGCAAGACCGTTTCTTTGAACTAGTGCCTAGTGGTGGTGAATCTGTAGCTAGGCTACTGTACTGTAGACTGTAGTGTAGATAGTCCGGTATGGCGGTAGTTTGTTGCAGGTGAAATATCGAAGTGTGGTAGATCTTTTACTATAGTTGTATTACATCAGGTTACTCATAATAACGTTGAATATGATAGCAGAATACTTTTACTTCATATGACGATAGGATGGTAATTTCATTAGCAATTTTATCAGATTCGAAAATTTAAACGTCCGCCATTTGCTATCAGCGCCATCTATCCAGAATGAATCTATTCGAATGAAACGGTTTATCACTTAACAATGGTAAACACATGAAACCTACAGACAAATTAGTACAACGCATTTACACCTTCAGAAATGCAAATAAATGACGATTAATCACTGGCGATGAAGAGAAACACCTGGACCTGAAATAGTTATAACATGTACTAAATTTATTTATACATATTTCATATAATGTAGATGCCTATGATATAACCAATAATCAGTAAGCTATATTATGTACTTCCATTAGTTATTATTGGACAATCCAATATCCAGTGATTTTATTTTCAATACTTCCCCTCCCCATTTTAAAGCAAAACTCTGCAATTATAATTGCGTTTAATACTAACCAGACGTAATGGTTTTGCTGTTATATTGCAAAATATTTCAGGATCTAAAGTAGAAGTACATAACTATTATGCAATGTATATTATACAAGATACAACATTTATACACGATTCCTTTAATTACTAGTTTTTCAACTGTGCTTCAACTAGTTCATTTAAGTGCTATTCAGTAAAAAAACGACACTTACCAAAATAGGAAAGTATAACCATTATGTGCAGTCACCCTTGATATTGTCCAGGTGAAAACCATCTTATATTCAGATCAAGCTCGCACGCGCTCGCACGCGCGTGGACGCACACACGCACACAACGTATCTTGGGCATGAACAAATGGCAGAGATTTTTCCAGGATAAACACAGTTGCCAAGGAGAGGCGAGTTTTCCATCTTTAGTGCAGCTAGTGTGTGCTGGTCACCTGCTGGAGTACATTCATAGCGAGATCGTGCAGGTTGTCGGGCTGACAGCATTCTTCCAGCCAGTGGATGACACAGCCCGAGAGCTCTACAAAACTGTTCGTAGATATCTTCTCATCGAAAGACTGGAACTGAGTATCCATGATGTTCTGGAACTGTAAATGAATAAAAACCGTCATTAACTCGGGCAAGTAGCAAGCACATTACATAGGTGAGCATAGTCACGGACTAATCTAGCTGCTTAATATGGGCACCCATGGCGAGCGTAGCTGTAAGATAACTGGAAAACGTTAATATAATGTTTATTCTTTGTACGCCCAAGAGGTGGCGCCACTAGTCAAGAAGAAGAGAATTATGGCGGGACGATAGCCTCTACACGCTCCTGTAACAGTGTCTGTGTGATTTAAGTTTATTTGAACAATATAATATGTAACATGTAACAAGC